GGTGCACAATTGTTGGAAAAAGCTACAAACCTTGCTTAGGGGGGATCGTATTTTTTTGCATGACTTTAACGGGGGGTGTTAAGAATTATCCTGGACATTTCAAATTTTCACCTTCCCCACCCCCTCCCCCACCCCCCTCCTGTACCATACATTATGAACGCAGCCTTATATGGACAATTTCTTGAAAGCGAATGAATGTTGTTTGTACGTACCTTTGATACTAGTGTCTCATTGCCTGAATCAATTGAATAAACAATCACTACCGTTATTACTGGGATACCTGTGGTAGCCCAGTCATAAAATACCTTTATTTTCTCTTCGCGACAAAATTTCAAAATTGCGCAATAGTACCCAGGACTCTTCAGGACCTTACCCAAGATAACTTTTGTATGGTCTGATCAATTAGCATATGCCGGCTGTCAATCAATGTCACTTTGTTACCGAGTGAGGTAAGTCATCATTGAATTATATTTTTTGTCGTTTTGATTGGCCAATATAAATTATGCAAATAATGGTCTGCTCATGCGCATTACGGTGCAAAGCTGTTTGGCTGCAAATAATAGTCTGCTCATGCGCAGTAACGTTGCATTTGTCAACATGGCTCGCTTCCCTGTGAATTGGTATGTTTGATGGATAGCAAAAACAACCGAAGCTCAAAAAGAAGAAGGGGAAAAAAGTCTGAGTGATAAAACAATTATTGAACTTGGTTATCACAGAATATCGTGATTTGTTAGCGGCTTGTCAGCTTTTATTTTTCTCGGCCAGATTTGATTTCAATGAAGAAGAAAAAAAAGAAGAAAAACAAAAATAAAAAAGAAGAAAAAATATTTGAAATGAAATTAAAAAGAAAAAAAATCAAAAAATCGACTCCACTTTGCCATACCCCCGAGACATCCGCAGAGCTGAGGCGGCGTATGGACTTCGGACCTGACGGCAATTAAATCCTTCTGCCCTTGGGTGTACGAATTACGCAAGAAAATGTTCTAGCCGGAGCATCAGGGGAGAGACCAGCCGGCCCCCAGACCATATCGGCTAATCCCTTGCATCGCTGCCACGCACGGAATCGGTTGAAAATATGATGTTAAAAAGTCTAGTCTATTTGGTGCATTGTTTTCATGGCTATTGTTATGCTGATTCACCTGGAACCGTGGTCCAGTGGAAAAAAAACTAGTCTTGCAAAACACTGAGTCAAGCCTGGCTGAGGAGTGTTTGTACCTGGATGGGTGGCCTAAACGTTATACCTATTGCTCAAGATTTTGATCATTATTTTTTTTCTTCGTTTTTCTTTTTTGACTTGGAAATAATACTCGTATCATCTACGCGAAAGATACTCGATATGTTCGCAACAGTAATTTTCGAGCTAAAATGTCAATTTTTCGATCTGTTATAGAGTTATCCTTAGTGAGAACGAGGTCAATATAGCAAAAGAAAAAAAGAAATGGTTCCGTTTCAAAAAGTGAGCGGATCTTAATTCAGCTTTTGCGGCACCCAGTGCAATGGCTAATGTTAGATTTGCATTGATTGACATGTAATTATATATGACGATCGTACATAATAAAACACAAATACACCACA